CTCGGCGAGCCCGAGGGCAGCGCCTCGCCGGACTCGCCGCTCGCCCGCTGGACCAAGTCCTTGCATTCCTTGTTGGGGGATCAAGATGGTGCCTATCTTTTCCGGACCTTCCTGGAGAGGGAGAAGTGCGTGGATACCTTGGACTTCTGGTTTGCCTGCAACGGCTTCAGGCAGATGGACCTTAAGGATACCAAAACTTTGAGAGTAGCCAAAGCTATCTACAAAAGGTACATTGAGAACAACAGCATTGTCTCCAAGCAGCTCAAGCCTGCGACCAAGACCTACATAAGGGATAGCATCAAGAAGCAGCAGATAGATTCTATAATGTTTGACCAGGCACAGACTGAGATTCAGACTGTGATGGAGGAAAATGCTTACCAGATGTTCTTAACTTCTGATATATACCTCGAATACGTGCGGAGTGGAGGGGAGAACCCTGCCTACATCAACGGCAACGGGCTGGGGAGCTTAAAAGTTGTCTGTGGCTACCTGCCGACCTTGAACGAGGAGGAGGAGTGGAGCTGCGCGGACTTCAAGAGCAAAATCCTGCCTTCGGTGGTTGGGCTATCCAGCAAGACGTTGAGGGTTACAGCGAACGTCAGAGCCACGGAGGCCATCGAGAACGGGTACAGGTAAGAGATGCTGGGAAACTGCTTTGTTTGACTTGGCGGACTTTGGGACTGCCTCGGTGGAGGGCAGGCTCTTAGAGCGGGGACTTGGCAGCAGATGCAAGGAAGTCCCGACCTCGCCTTGGCGTTTGCATGGGCTTCCCCCAGCGCTGAAACGAGGGGTGTTTGGGGGTGCTGGCTGCTTTGTGCTCCCCTCTGCATGGAGGAAAGCAGGATCCTCTGCTCTTGAGCCCCATTGGCTCCTCGTGCATCGAAAACTTCATAGCAACTATGTCCTCCGGAYATACGTTAATTATTGGTTCAACTTTCAAACCTATTAAGCGCAGTAGTGGAGTGGATCACAGGGGTGTATGAATAATGTAACCTACCAGTTCACCAACTTCACCAGCAACCAGCCCTTAAATAAGTTGGTTATGTGGGAAGCAATTGTGCGGTCACGGTGCAGGAAATGTGTGTGCTTACTGCATTGAACTACGCGACTTGCACAGAATCCACCTGCATTTTGGCTGGGTTTGGATCGTGTGCACCCTCGTTCATCACGGTCACTCTGGCCATCGTGTCAAAGCCCCCTAGGGTGGCTTTGAGCCAATGTATGGATGGGAGCATGGCTAACGTCAAGTATTGAAGGTGACAGGGGCACAAAGGGGGATCTTGGGTGTCCTGGTGGATGTGCATGCCCAGTTAAACTTGCAGAACGTGGTTGGGTGTCCAAAGCAGGTCCCAATCAGGCTGAGCGAGCAGGGTTTGTGGTGTGATAGCTCAGCTGGAGCTTGTGGTAGGGTCCTGGCTGGAGTGGGCTCTGTGTCACCCTTGGGTCCCTTTTGTTGTTGGTTTTGATGGAAAGGTGGCATGAGGGTGAAGAAAGAGCCCTCCGGATTCGAAAGGGGGCTGGGAAGGAGAGCCTGGTGAGCGAATGGTGAGTTGTATAATCCTCTGAAAATGTATTCTTTCCTCTCCCCACCCTTGCCATAAATGTGGATTGCTGGGCTGAGAGGAGAGGGCTCTGCTGGCTCTGCTCTCGTCTGCTCGACTCGGAGTTGGGGTTTGGGTATGGTGAGTGTTGGATGGAGCATCTCCTTGAGAAGCGTTTTGGGAGCGTGTCTGGGATTCGGGATGTCAAAGGGCAGCGGGCTGCTCTCCAGCTTGCACCATGCCTCCGAGGAGGGCTCTTCTGGAGCGCTTCCTGCTTCCCTGCCTTGGGCAGAGCTCCAGGGCATCCTGGGGCCGTGAGCACTGGGACAAGTTCTCCCGCTCTTCCCATAAAAATGGGAGAGCTCTTCTTAACCATGGGGCTGTTGCTGTGAGTGGGATGAGCTGAGTCCTTTCCCTCTGTGGCAGAATAGGGGACAGGACAGGGCAAGGGGCCGCCTTGGTCCCAGCCCATCTGTGGCCTCTGGTGCTCTCCCGCCGGGGGAGTTGGCAGGACGGAGGTGCTAATTGGCAACTGTTTTGTGGCAGACTCGGGTTTTGGGATCCTCCTCGCGTGCAGGAGTGTTGTTACCGTCTCTGCATCTGCTCCTCTCCCAAACCTGCCTTGAACTGCTGCCCTTTGCTTGCTTTTCAGGAGGGGAGGGCTGGATGCTTTTATCTGCACGCCAGTCTTTGTTGGTGTTGGGTGCTGGCAGGGCTTGGCTCTAATGTTCTAGCAGTGCTTCAGGCCCTTCAGAAAACCCACACGCTCCTGGTCCAGGAGAGCTCCCACAGAACTGAGCCTGGTGCCTGATTAGAGCTCCCTTTTCCCTATTCTTTCTTTCTCTTTTATTTTATTTTTTTATTCTTTTGGTCTGGGGATTAGCACAGTCTGTTCCTTGCATGTCAGATCTACCCTCCCAGGACATGAGGTGATGCATTTTGCTTTGATCACCTTCTCTTGAATTTCCAGGARCTTTTGCATTGAGATCTCTTGGCCCCATGGAGAGCAGAGAGAAGGAAGCCCAGTYGAGAGATGCTTCCCAGCCTCTCCTGAGCAGGCTGTTTGTGAAGGCACTAGTGCATGTGTTTGCTGGGGGCTGATGGGCATGTGGATGGGTTATCTCCCATCACTCAGCATTTAGGATTGCATTTCGGATTGGGGCTGGAGCTTGACACCAAGTCCTTCCTGGTGAGTGGCCAAACCACACCTCCATCCTGGGATATGGGATGGAGTTGGACGGATGGAGTTGGATGGATTATAAAAGCAGGAACTGGGAGCACTGGGCTGAGTGCACCTGATCTGGGAAGTCAAGGGATCTTCAGCCAACCCAGTGTTTGGATGGGAGACCACCTGGAAATCCCAGGGCATGGAGTCACAGCCAGAAACTTGGCAAACTGGAGACCACAGAAACCATACGAGTTGAAAGACTTTGTTTGGCCCCAGCACCAGGAATGGACAGGAACGGTGAAATGAAAACACAGCATTTGAGTCTGTCAGGAAAAAAAAAAAAAAGCATGTGCATACAAATTGGTGGTTATATATTTGAAGTCCTAATGCAAGAAATATTTTGAATTTTGGCTTCTCCRTGGTCCTTCCAAGCTGCCCCCCTCCCCTCTGTTGTGGTGCGGCAAAGCTGGCCGCCCCGAACTGCTGAGTGTGTTGGACCTGGCCTCACTGTCCTGGAATCCCAACTATTATTTATATGCGGTTCTAAATTTATCGTGCACCAGCGTGTGTACACAGGGGCGCGTGCCTTCCTGTGCAGGGCCAGCGCGGGGCCGGGCAAGGTGGGCTCATGTGCCTCCCGTTAGTGTCCCCTTGTCGCGGGGCTGGGACCGGCCCGGGCTGCAGGACCCAGGTTTGCAGGTGGCTTCTGGCGGCTCCGAGCGCTTCCCAGCCTTGGAGAGAAGCCGCTCCTCGTGTGTGAAGTTACTGGAGCCGCGTTTGGCTTCAATTATCAAAGTAAATGATGCCATTGTAAAGCTATGCTTGAAGTGGGGTTCTACAATTAGAGCATGGAAGCTGTGATTAGCATAGTTTTGTTAAAATACACTTTATTTTTCAGGTTGGTGCATGTGTTTTTCTTCCTTTTTTTTTTTTTTTTTTTTTTGTCTTTAAGTCAGGGATTGCCCAGTGATGTTTGTCCCAAGAAAATATTTAATGAGATTCAGTTTTTGCCTCAAAATGCTCCTTGCAGATTTTCTTTCCCCTTTGTGTACATCTGTGGTTTGAACTGCCAGAGTGCTTTTATTTCTAAGAAGTGGAGTTTGACAATAATAATAATAATAATAAAAAAAAAATCTCAGGCATTGCACTGCTGTAATAGGGGACACAAACAAGAGCCCCCTGAAATTTCCCTGCCATTGTAATACCTCTGATATGCCCATTGCCTAACATAGCATGTAGAGAGCTCCATGCTGCGTGTCACYGCATCAAGATAAGAATAGTCTGAGAAACATCAGACATTCTCCTTGAAGCTCCAGAGCAACTGCTACCTGACAGCTGAAAACACTTTGCATATTGAGTTTGGAGACTGTGTGTGCAGGAGCTGTGGCAGGAGACCACCTCTTTCCACTGGAATTTAAAACCCTTGCAGGCAACTTGATGCATCTGGGTACAATTACTGGAGTAAGGTGGTCATTTTTTTTAAAGGAAAAAAAGCACATAGTGAAGCAGCCCTATCAGATTTCTTAGAATAGCAGGGGGCTTGGGGATGGCCCTTGAGGGTGGTGGAGTGAGGGGGTTATCTGTAAGATATGTCAAGTTTCTTTTCCTTGGTCAGTGAAGCGTTGGGGAGGAAAGCTGGGCGGCAGCCCTGGATCTGCTGGGGCAGATGAGCGAGTCCTGGCCCCTTTCCCTAGTGACGTATTGGGAAAGGCTGGATCTGGACACACCTCTCCCTCCCCTGTGTAGGGACCTGCTGCCTCCGCCTGCCTGGCAGTCCTTCATGGAGCAGCATCCCTGGTCCTTGGGTTAACCCCATGGAGCAGCATCCCTGGTCCTCGGGTTAACCCCACGGAGCAACATCCCTGGTCCCCGGGAGCAGTGTGGTGGTGCTGGAGCATCCTGCCCCAAGGAGCATCCTGCCCCAAAGGGGACCTGCCCCAATGGGGACCAGCCTCCTGGTCCGGGGCTTTGGTCTCCAGACCTGAGGTACTTCCAGATAACACATCTACAAGAGCTTCACCCCTTCCCCAATCTGCCCCAAACCCATCTGAAACCAGAGAAGTGCATCCCTCTGAAGAAGATTAGAAAGACTGCATGTTTTGAGAGAAACTTTTTTCTTTTCTTTCTCCCCCACCCCACAGCAGGATAACTCAGCTTTCACCCACATGTGGGATTAATTTATCTTCTAAAGATTTAACGTCTTTCCTGTGGCATTCCTGGCTATCTTTTTTTTTTTTTCTCCCCAATCAATCTCTATTTTTAATGACTTGAGCTTGGCTGGAGCGCCTGGGCCTGCTCTGAGATGGCCCATGGTCGCGGCCACGCTGATGTCCCCATGTGGCACTGGCTGCTGTGCCCTGGAGGGGTCCATCTCCTGGCGCTTCCCTCTCCTTTCCCTTTTTTTTTTCTCTTTTTCCCTGCTTAAATCCTTGCAAAGATGGGTGGTTCTTCTCCTCCTCCTGGCCAGCAATAGGGAACCACGTGCTGCAGCAGGGGAGACACTCATTTAAGCRGAGTGTGTCCCCTCCAATATGGGACCACAGGATTGGGGTGGCCACGGGGCAGAGCTGCTGGTGCATTCCCACCAGTCCCCAAATTAGGGGAAAAGTGGCCGTAATTCTTGAGAGCAGCAGCTCTTATGAGATGGGGAGGCCTTGAGCTTTGCAGAGCAGGCAGCCCGGCCTCCGCCGGCAGCCTTGGCACGCAGCTCCCAGCCTAATCCCCTCATCCCGCCGGGATGTGTGGATTGGAGCTGGCTGCGGGGGGGCCGGCGCCGGCCCCCGTGCTCTAGGTGTGCATTTGGGGATTGCCTGGGGGCTTTTCCTGCATCCTCTCTGGGATGTTGGGACTTTGGGCCCCGGGGTCCTGGGTGCAGAAGGCCACCACGTCCCGTCCTCCCAGGGCCACMCTTGTGCTGCTCCTGCCTTTGCATCCCCCTTTCCTGCTCCCTATCCTAGCCTAGAAGCTAAMACACCCCAACCCAGGTGGCACTAGTAGCAATCTTGCCCCCAAAAAGGGGCCTTTTTATCTTGTGTTTTGGTAAAGCCCCAAAATGGCACCTGCCGTTGGGAAGCCAGGCCTGGAAGAGCCTCTCGGGGCCTCCCCAGTGCTGGCGCTCACGGTTGGTGGTCCCAACGCTCCAGTAGTTGCAGGCACTTCTCTGGTTTCAGGCAACACAGATACAGTAACTTTTTTATCCCAAGGGGGCCCTAACTCCTTTCTTCAGAGCAGACTTAAGCATTTATTAGCTGGTGCCGTGATGGCTTTCAGTGGGGCTTGAGCTATGAACTTCTTGATCCAGTGCCTGCTGATATCGACAGCAAAGCTCCTGCTGGCCTCGCTGAGGGTCCAACTTGAAGGAGCAAGTGTTCAAATGTATTCGAGCACCTGGAGGTGCTGCCAGGGATTTCCTGCAGTGTGTTTCTAATGCCAAAAGCAACRTCTTTCAAGTCGGACCTAGAGAAGTTTTTGACAGAGGTGGTCTGGTCGCCTGGAGATGGACCTTGTCAATGGCTGGTTGCTTCTGCAGGGCCCGAGTAGCCAGCCTGTGGATATCTAAAGAAAATTAGACCCTTAGACACCCTCAGACCCTGGTGCTTTTTCTCTAGCTCAGGAATGGCTGATAACTCAGTTCCTGTTTTGCTTGTCCCTAGGTCCTTCAAGAGGAACGATCCCGTTAACCCCTACCATGTGAACTCCGGCTATGTCTTCGCCCCAGCGACGAGCGCCAACGATAGCGAGATATCTAGCGATGCCCTGACCGACGATTCCATGTCGATGACGGACAGCAGTGTGTAAGTATCACATGTTGGTCATGGGTCACCCATGGTCATGGGTTGGACACGGGTCGGACATGGGTCACCTGTGCCGGTGGCCACGGTGATTGCAGGAGCGATGTCTCCAATTGTCACTTCACATCTCCAGTGTCCAGCGGTCTGTTGAACTCAAGGTCTTAGCCYGAACAAGGGAGGTGTCTTGTGGTCTTTGAGGACCTTGATGCTCTTGGAGATATGGGGTACAATAAGGTGCTGGATCCCTCGATTGCCACCTTGCAGCTGAGCCAACGCGTTTTCCTCGTTGCTGATGGCGATGCCTGACTAACCCAAGGAGTTTATATCTCCCTGCCTTTTGTCTTAAGGYCAGACTTCCTTAGCCATTTATCAGTCATCAAAGAGGAGATTACTTCCTGTAGGAAGTGCTTTCTGTAATTAAGGTTCATCGTTAATGTCAGCGTGTACATTAATAGGGCTAGTGACCTGAAGGAGCAAATAGCTGCTCATCTCGTGTGGCTGGGGCAGCCTTCAAAGGAGCGCTGGARTGGCTGCATGGAGCAGGTCGGAGCCTTTGCAGAGCCAAGGGATGAAGCTGGTTTGTGGATGCACCCAGGGCTTACAGGGGCTCCGTTTTCCCAGGGTGTGGGACTTGGGATAAGCCATTTGGCCTTTCTTCCTTAGTTTCCTTTCCTCCAGCAGGAGAGAAGTAGTGCATTTATGTCTGGGCGTTGAAGGGGCAGTTAGACCCACTTTGTGCTCTTAAGGACCACTGTCTTCATCTGGAGAGAAGGCAGATGTTTCCATTCCCGTGGCGTGATCCTCACTGGAATATGAGTCCTCCAGACAAGCCAGCTTGTCTGTTAGGCAGCACATGGTATCCAAGAGCTCAGTCTCACAAGTGAAACTTCTTCGTAGTGATTCCTGTCTGCTCCCCAAAAGATTTGTATTCTGAATTTTTGGAGTCAGCAGTGCTTCATGATGATGCGTGATGGAAAACAGGATTAAAAAAAATCCTTGATGCATAAACTAACCTTTTTTTTTGTTTTTTTTTATTGCACATGTGTGTTTTGAACTGATATTACGGGGAAAAAATAGTTTGTTGTCCCACCAGATTCCCTTATTGAACAATATTGGCATTAAATAAAAGAGCTGAATCATAGGGTGACTTCTTTATTTCTTCTTACTGGCTCCGGTTGTATGTGATCATGTGTCAACAGAGCATTCATTGGGTTAGTCATTTCTGGACCAGTGTAGGGTCACTTGGGATTCACAGGGCTAGGATTATACCCTCTCTTCACAGCAATGCCAATTGTAGGCCTTATACAGATGAGAGCACTGAGTGAGAAATAAAGTGCATGGTGGATGAAAGGCTTAACTGAATCGCTTTCAGCCTATTGTTAGTCTAGGGGAGCTTAGAGGGGATAAGAGGGTAGCAGGCCGCTTTGAAATTTGCTTGAACAAGTGAATAGGAGCTCCCCATAAAGCAGCGCATGAAAGGAGCCTGCCTGTTTTTTCCTGCCGGAACAATGGCCCGCGCAGGCTGTGAGAGTTTGGGGAAGCTTGGCTGATTAAACTGCTGGGAGCCGGGGGGCGCGGGGGGCTCGCGGCGCCTTTGCCGTGGGCAGCCACCGAGGGGTCCCCCGGCGCGGCGCTTCCCGCCGGCGCGGCCTGCGGAGCCGCTCCCGGCCCTCCTTGTGTTTGGRAAGTGGGAGAGGTGACTTGGCAGCTCCGGAGGGCCCGGCCGGAGCCGCGGCTCTTGTAAAACCTCCTTCGCGGGGACGGGGAGCCCTGGGGATCTGCGTCCTCCTCGGGAGCCTCTGCTGCTCCCCCAGGGCCCCAGGAGCGTTTTTGGGGTGCGGATCCTGCCCGCGGTGCCGGTCTGTGCCGGGTGCGCTTCTGCCTCCAAGTTTTGCCACTCTTTTTTTTCTTTTCCCCCTTTCTTCTGTGCAAATGCAAATTAGYCCTTTTGGCTTAAACTGGTATCAACTGAAGAGGAAAAACTTGTTCTGGAAAGTCTGTCAGAGCAGTGAAGTCAGTTATTTATTTTTTAAAAATAAGCCTAAATCTGAACTGTGCTTGAATTATGAGAGGCCTCCAAATAATGCACAATCTGCCTTTTTTTTTTAATTTATAAGTGCTAGAATTCCGTTTATGTCTGTGTATTCTGTAATCACCACAAAACATCATGCAAATTTATATTTCCATTTCTTGATTGGGGAGGGGGCAAGGGGAAAGAGGAAAGGGGATTTTTTTTTTTTTATTTGCTTATATCTTATTTATGGATTTACTTTGGACACAGGGGAATGCTGCTGAGCAAACTTCAAATATTACCTTATCTTACAAACCAGGCTTTTGATGTTGGCAAGATCAGAGGCTTGTTTCAGAGCCGTTGCCAAATGAAGATGGGAGTGAATGCATATGCGCATGAGTCTGATATTTCAAAGCAGCAGTAAAACTACATTCAGGTTAGGTCAGGCACATCTGAGTCAAAAGGCTAAGATAATTGGCTCAGCTTAAATGGCAGCTGACTGGAGAGAAGACTTCAAACTCGTGTTTCCCCCAGAAACAGATTGGCTCCGCACCAGCCTGGTTAGCTGAAATGTTTATAATTAAACTCTACTATTTAGTGCCTAAACTCTGTAGCTCTTCAGCCCGCAGCTTTTAGGAGCCAAGAAAGTGAGTGCAAATGTTCCCGGCGGGAGAGCCGGCCTGCAGCACCCTGCGTGCGGCCACTGCCGGCCTTCCCTGTTCTTTTGCACGGAAAAGGCCCGGATTTGGAGAGCGGGCAGCAAACTGGCTGCCAAATTCCCTCCCCAACTCGCCCAAGCTGCTCCATAACCTTCCTGTTCACAGGGAAGTGTCCTTTTTTTTTTTTTTTTTTAGTTGTTCTCCTTTTTGGTTTAATTCTGCAAACTTTGTTAGCAGCTGGAAAGCTCTTAACTCTTCAGATGACCAAATTCTGCATGTTTTGTGGGATAGGAGCGTGTGGCTGCATGGGCATGGCCAGGGGGGATGATGGGTATGTGTCCCGTGTGATCCCCAGCTGGGCCATCCATAGCCCGGTCGAGGCTTGGGACACAGCAGGGGCTCAAGGGCCCATGGAGAGGGGAGGTCAATGTCCATGGAGTGGCACTGAGTGCCTTTTCTGTATTTTTTTTTCATTTTTTTTCCCCAAAAATATATTAAGAGTAGGTTGGTGTGGTCTTTCACGTTGAGCTTTGCAACTCAGTTTGGCTTATTGAAGCAACAGTTCATCCATGGTGGCTGAGCGAGGCCAAGGCCTCCATGAGGGCCTAAGGTGCCAGATCCAGTGCCAACCTAGGGGATCGGCCCTTCYGCCTCCAGAGATGGAGCAGGCATCTCCCAGGAGTCTTGTTCCCATGGGACATCTCCAGCTGCATGTCCAAAAGCCGGGCCCACGTGTGTCCGTGTGGCCACGGGCCAGGCCGTGTAGGCACCCAGATGGATGYGGCCTTCTCCATGTGAACAGTCAGCCTTTGCTGATGTCCTCCAGGTCCGGGAAGGATGGGAGCTGTTCTCTCGACTCAGGAGATGAGTAAGATGTGGGGGCAGATGGATAAAAGGGAATTGGACTGGAGATCAAGGTTGTCCCGGCAGTCTGAGGCAAGGGGTGGAATTAGACATTCGGGATTTCCAGGCAAGCTCTTCTGGTTGTCCCCAYGGTTTGTAGAAAGCCCATTAATCCCAGCAAAGGTATTTTTATTTTTTGCCTGGCCACGTGAAAACAGGCAGCGTTGCCTCCAGCGAGCTGTGCCGGGTGCTTCTCCTCTCCGTGCTCCCTACAGGGTTGCTCCTCATGGCTTCCTCGCAAAGAGCCGAGGTGGCCAACGGGACAAACAGAGGACATGGCCTGGCTCTTCCTGCATCTCGTAGCCTGCAATTGCCAACTTGGGGCTGGAGACATGTCTTGGATCTTGAGTCATGCTGGGGGGCATGGACAGCCTCAGTGGAGCCGTCCAGCTCCAGTCTCTTCCTCCTTGTTTCTGTGCTGTCGCCATCCTGTTGTTTTAGAGCTAGGAGAAAGCTGCAGCTTTAAAGAGCTTAATTCAGGGAGGACCAGCACAAGTGGAGAGGGCAGGTGGAGAAACATCCTTGCAGGAAGGTGAGACCCCTTCCTGCAAGGGGTCTCAGATGTGAGGTTCGCGGTATCTTCTGGGTGGCTTCCCATGGTGGTGCTACCTTCAGCTTGCTTTTCAGCCTTTGCTTGGGACAAACTTTACTTGGTCCCCGCTCATCCGTTCGTGTGGTGAGCCCGCTGCGGTTCGCGCTCCCTCAGCCCACGCGCCCTCCTCACGGTGCCTCTTTCTCATCGCAGGGATGGGATCCCTCCGTACAGGCTCGGGAGCAAGAAGCAGCTCCAGAGGGAAATGCACCGCAGCGTTAAGGCCAACGGTCAAGTTTCTCTACCTCATTTTCCGGTAAGTACCCATGCTGGGCTGGATGTTGGGCCATGTGCAAGGCCTTGGGGTGGCAYGAGGTGCCTGGGACACACTGCCCTGGGACATGGATGCAGGTGGGAAGAAGGGAAGGGCAGTGGTGGTGGCCACCATGCATTCACCATGCCCGGGAGCACCTGGCTTGCACCTGCCTCCTTGCAAAAACCATCTCGCAGCGTCACGCCGGCTCACTCCCTGCGAGCTGSGTGCTAATTAGGGGTTTCCCGAGGCTCCGGGTTTGGCCTCCAGCTCRGCATTCGAGGCCGGGATGCTCCGCTTGGCCGGGAGCTGGCGGTCCCCGGGGCTGGACAACCCCTGGAYGCCCGTCCCACGCCCAGCGCCGCGGGGCTCGCGGCTCTGCCTGGCTCCAGGGCTCCACAAGCACCCGCTTGGGAGCTGCCAGGGACATTTGCAGGAGATCTTGGGCCTTCACATCTTGGTGGGCCCTGCTCGAAGGGGACACAAGTCCCAGGGCTGCCTYGCGCTCGCTCAGCTTGCAGATACCTGAGTCCTACAGCGAATAAACTGTTTGCACAGACAAGTATAAACTTATCTTGTCCCGCGATTAATAAGCTAAAATTCCTCTTTCTGCTGTCTTAAGCAGCAAGAAATCACAGATGATATTTCTGTTAGGGGGGGGCATGGGTTTGTGTGGTTTTTCTTTCTTTTTTTTTTTTTTCTTTTTTCACCCCCCTTCCTCCATAAAGAAAGTTCTATAGCCTGAGCTTGTAAATTAGATTATTTTGTCCCAGGGCGTGCAAATCGACTTTCTCTGTAAGGCAGTGCTTTGATCAGGGACTGAATAGAGCCAGCTTGTGTAAGAGTGACAATTTCCAGCAGAGTGGCCTTTTTCTACCCTCACATCATTTCTGGAGCTAAGTGGTTGCCGGAGAGAGGCCCCACCTCATCTGGTGGGTAGTATGTGAAAGAGTTGGCAGTTCAGCTTGCTGCTTTCAGAAAAAAAATAATAAAATAAAAAAAAGGAGGGAGAGGGAAAGTAGGGGCGAGAGGAGCAGGGTGTGTTTGGGGGTGGCAGGAAGGAGGGGAGGATGCTAGTGGGTGGGTTCTGCTTTTTCCTTTATTTCCTTTTCTTTTTTCCCCTTTTCCCTACCATGTTTGCTGCYTTTGGCAGAAATTCTGGGTTTTGCCTTTTTATATTCTGCACTTGATTTGGAGATGTTCCCTTTTTCCCTTGATAGCTCTGCTCGAGGCAGCCAGGCGCAGCAGTGCACCGCTGCTAGCCTGCAGCAGCTTTCTTCATTTTCTGTACAAAGAGATTGGGGAGGGGGGGGAAGAGATCTAGGACACTGTTGAGACAACACTACCTCAAAGGTGCCCAGTGTGTAGCCAGGAAATAAATTACCAGCACTTCTCTGATCTGCAACCGTTTGACTCCTTCTTTTTTTTTTTTTCCCTCTTCCCTTCCTTTCCCTTTTTCTCCCCCATCTTATTTTTTTTAATTTCCAACTCCTTTCTGTTTATACTCACTTTATTCCTTGAGTTAAAGTCTCTCTCTCTCTCCCTCCCACCTCAGAGGGTTTTTTTTTCTTTTTCCTCCTTTTTTTTTTTTTTTTTTTTTTGATGTTTGACAACAGTCTTTGAAGATTTTCTACTTCAGAGTAGCTACTGATGGGCTGGTTGTACTACAGAGAGAACAAGCGGGGTTCCTCAGAGTGCGACCAACTGCTCCTGCCGAAGGCAAACGCTGGTGGGGAGGATGTCACTCCATGAGGCCGCGGCGCTAGCTCATAAAAATCCAGAGCAGCCCATGCCTGGCCGCGGTCGGCTTTTCATCCAAACATGGAGACACAACAAGCGTAGCGGGGCCGGCGATGCCGCTCGCGCTCCGCGCCGGCGTCTCGCCCTGCCCGCTAAGAGCGCCTTGTCCCTTTTGTCCCCGCTCCGTGTAGAGAACCCACCGGCTCCCCAAGGAGATGACCCCCGTGGAGCCGGCCGCCTTCGCTGCTGAACTCATTTCCCGCCTGGAGAAGCTCAAGCAGGAGCAAGAGACCATGGACAGCCTGGAGGAGAGGCTGCAGCAGATCAAGGAGGTAGGAGGCTTAAGCCGCGCGGCGTCGGGCTGGGGGACCCTGGGGTGGCCCAGAGYGGGGACCTGTTTGTCCATCTTGGAGCCGAGYGCCTTGCATGCAGCCTGGGGGTGGSTCCCKCTCGCCACAAGGGACCAGGGACATTCGGTGGCCCTCGCACAGGCCTCGGGTGGGTCGCTCACCCTGGTGCTTCTCTCCCAGGACGAAGAGAAGGAGGGTGCGGAGGTGGCAGGCGGCGTGCAGGCYGCCCGGGACGCCCCGCACCAGCAGCACCCGCTGTCCCTGCTGCCCGCCGGCAGCTACGAGGAGGACCCGCAGGCCATCCTGGACGAGCACCTCTCCCGCGTGCTCAAGACGCCCGGCTGCCAGTCGCCCGGCACGGGCCGCCACAGCCCGCGCGCCCGCTCGCCCGACCGCCTGCCCGGGGCCAAGCTGCCACCTGGGGCRTCTGTGCCACCCGCCTGCGCCCTCCTGGCCAAGGCCTTCGTCACCAAGCAGACCACCAAGCACGTGCACCACCACTACATCCACCATCACGCCGTGGCCAAGACGAAGGAGCAGCTCGAGGCCGAGGCGGCGCAGCGGGCGCAGTGCTGCTGCCCGCCCGGYGGCGACTACTACTGCTACTCCAAATGCAAGAGCCACCCCAAGGGCACGGACGCCCCGATCCCTCCGGTGGAGCCTTTTGGGTAAGTCAGAAGGTTTCCCCACCCGTGGGTGCTCACGCATCTCCATGRTGGGATTTCACGGGGGGCATCGTGTTCTTGTCGCAACACGACGGCCGTGCTCATGCCCRTGCCCCTGTCTTCTCCTTCCCCGCAGCAGGCCGGGCACGCTGCCCAAGCGGAGCGGCCGGGGGCYGGAGAGCCTGGTGCTGGTGGCGGGTGATGGAGGGCCGCCCGCCGCCCCGTCGCTGCAGCTGCCCGCCGGCGAGGCCGACCGCGCGCAGAACGTCTGGCAGTGGATGCTGGAGAGCGAGAGACAAAATAAGCACAAGCCCCATAGGTAAATACGCAGCTGTCTGCAGCAATATCGCTCCCGGTAAATATTTATATATTACACGGGCTGTCTATTTTTACAATCGCTGAAAACAAATGAGACTCTTTGCTCCTCCGGTTTAATATAAAAGCTGTTCCGCAGAACCAGAAAAACCACAAAAATGTCATGTTTTTGGCAATAAACCTCCTTTCATGTTATGACAGACTTTTGAGAGGGAGCGAGCAGAATAGGAGCTGCTATTAAAGTCATATTTTCCAGCTTTTCTAACCCGGCTCCTTCCCCTCCCCAGCACGCAGAGCACAAAGAAGGCGTACGGCTCCGAGGCGGCCAAGGGGGCCCCCGGCGGGCGCCACCACCCCTGGGGCGCGGGCCACGCGCGCGGGGCGCAGCCCGCCCACCCCTTYGTGCAGGACCCGGCCATGCCGCCGCTCACGCCTCCCAACACCCTCGCGCAGCTGGAGGAAGCCTGCCGCCGGCTGGCAGAAGTCTCCAAGCCTCAGAAACAACGGTGAGGACCCCCAAAACCTCACTGATTTATATGGAAGAGGGAACAGCAAGGTGGGGATCGGAGAGCGGCTGCAACTGCAACTCCCCGTTGACCGGCCAGGCTCCGGTTGCATCGGTCCTTTGCTGGGCTTGGGATGCAGTTTGTGGCATGGAGGGGCTGCATTTCTGCTTTCTGCAGCACCGTGGGTTTCTGCAGCACTGGGTTTCTGTAGGTTTAAAGCAAAGCAGGTTGCTGCAGCAGTGCAGGCTTCGGAAACGATGCAGATTTCTGCAGCAACACAGGTTTTGCAACTGCAGCAATGAAGGTTTTGCAACTGCAGCAATGAAGGTTTTGCAACTGCAGCAATGAAGGTTTTGCAGTTGCAGCAGTGTAGGTTTTGCAGTTGCAGCAATGCGGCTTTCTGCTCAGTGCAGCTTTTGCATTGCGGCAATGCAGGTTTCTGTGGGTCTCCACACCTGCAGCACTGCAGATTTCTGCATCAGCCTTTGCAGGGACCCATGCAGGTGCAGCTCATGCTCTTGGCCTCCCAGAGCTGAGGCCAAGGTGACAACCAGGTTAGAGCAGGCTGGGGTGACCGGGCGGGCACTGTCCTGCTTGATGGCCTTGGTATCGGTCCGGAGCAGGAATGGGGCTGGACGGGAGGGATGGATGACAGCGCCGCTTGGCGCAGCCCCAAGGATGAACTTCCTTATTCCAACCCCACCCTGCCCAGCACAAATAGTTTTGATCTTAGACTATTACTTCCACTCGTTTGATGGCTGTAATTTGCCCGTTTTTCCTCTGGGATGAACTCCAGCTACATACCAAGTGGAGAACTGGACTGGTTATCATTCATTTGGGTATGGAGGGATAAATTGGCCCACAGCAGTTTTAATTCTTCTTTTGATTGTTTACAACSTGTGAGGGTTGATACAAAGAGCGAACTTAACGGCCCACAGGAGACTTCAATTAAGAAGACTGTATTTCAACAATTTTTTGAAAAATCTTTTCTTTTTTTTCTTTTTTTCCCCTCTTCCCCACTTGCTCCCTCTCTTCCTAACTTCAGATGTTCAACCTCAAATCAGCAGAGGGATCGAAACCACTCCGCTGCTGTGCAGGGGGGAAGCACCCCTTTTTGCAATGCAAGTCTAACGACAGAAGAGTAAGTATTGCACCCACATAAAAGGGTGGGGAAACATATATAATAATTATATTTTCATTAAATGAACTGTGCTTTGAGAAGAGAGGAAATTTGTGTATCTGAAGTTTAGTCTTTCAAACTGTTCTTCTTAAAGAGAGAACAAAACATTTTCAAATCTTGTCTCTGGTTCTTTTTAACTTGCATTCCTGTAAAGTGGACAAAGATTGGATTAGTCTAATTACAGGATGGTTCTTTTAACAAGAAATCTTGCTACAGAGAGGTCTAAAATGGCCTAAATAATTAAAGTTTTCTTTCTTACCCTCTTCATSTTAAGCAATGAGTAATGTTTGAAGTCCAGACTGAGCCACCTGACTAGAGCCTTTCATTTTTAATTGGTTGACCTTAAGTCCACCAGCTGTCTTTGCTAGCAGCTTTTTTTTTTTTTCTGAAGCCACTCTACAAAGACTTAGAACAAATTAGGAAGACTAAATTACTGCGGACTAACACTTTGCGACCTTTTGACATGCCAAGTGTACATGGCCTCAGAAGTAGCTCTGGATTTGGCTGCATGGCATTCACTAGAGCGTTGCCATTTTGCTGCGTAATGTTGTTTTAATGATTCTTGCAGGAGCCTTCCCCATTGCCAGTGACACGAGCTGGTTAATTTTAGCCTCCTTGCACACYAGTGGAAATCATGTCACCTGTGTGCCCTGGGCAAGGGAGCTGGTGCAGGGGGTTGGTGCATGAGAAGGAGGTCGCCTTGTTGCCTCCTCTCCGCTGGCTTGTATGAAGGCAGGTGAAGCAAGTCCTAAAATCAGACCTTTGGCTYGGCCCATGGTGAGTGCGCGTCTCCGCTCTGCCATAGCCTTGCCCTCCAATTTTGTTTTTTCAGCAAATTTCCTCCCCTCCATCCCTCCTCGCTTTCCCATCTGTAGCAAGGGCAGGATTGCTGCTGCCCACACGCACCCTGAGGCTCCGGCCTTTGTGATGCTAATGCTGCTACCATCAAAGTGGCCAGGAGCTGTTGTCCCACACCAGCATCCCACAGGGCTTGAGCGCTGTGCAAGGGCAGAATGACAAATTCTCTTCCAGGACAGGGAATATCTGACTCGTGGTCACACCCACGGTGCTTCTGACCAGCCTTAAATGTGGCCGAAACACTGTTCGATTGAGTGCTGGGAAACTGCTGCTTCTCAAATGGAAAAACAGATTTTTGTAGGTTTTTTTTTCTCTTTTTTTGGTTTCAGCCACAAAGAGCCAAAGAAACTCCCCGTTGTTCACACCTCTCAGTCTAGCGAGTTGGTTGTCACCTATTTTTTTTGTGGAGAAGAAATTCCCTACCGGAGGATGTTAAAGGCCCAGAGCCTGACACTTGGGCACTTTAAAGAGCAGCTGAGCAAAAAGGGAAATTACAGGTAAGAATCTTTGCATTTTGCTTGTTTCTTTTATATATGCCAAAATAAGACAGCAGAATCAACATCTGTTTCTGCACATTTACCCACAATTTGACCTATTTGCCACATTTTGGAGATTGGCTCTAGTAGCTTATTTGAGTCCCGCTCGAACCAGGAGCAACTTGGAGATGGCCAGGGGGGGCATTAAGATGCTCTTGTGGGATGGTGATGGGTTGTCTCCTCCTCCTCTTCCTCCATGGAATGTGCAGACCAATGGACTTTGTGCTACAGCTGCCATCCAAGAATGCCAGGGAAAATGAGGGCRGTTACGGATGCACGGAGCAGTGGGGTGGGATTTGAGGTTCCCTCTCCAAACTGGGTCCACATTCGCTCATACTGGTTTCCTACAAGTCTTTGTCCAGTCCTTAAATCGTGTCTCGTTTGTGAAACGGGCCGAGGGACTCAGCTGTCCGCACAGCTGCCGGGCCCGTGGGTGGTGTCGCCCTAAACCCAGCACACCAAAGGTCGGGATGCTGCACCGGAGTGTGGACTTAGCTGAGCTGCAGCGAGTTCCGTCTAGCTCTTCAAAAGCCTCTTCCCTTTGTCAGGGCAAAACTCTGCCCCGCGGGGAATATTCCACCGGCTGCTGCTCCGTTCCTCTTTACAAACACCACCCAGCCTTGCCTGTCTGGTTTGCAGGGCCCCGCTCCCAGTTTATCCAGTTTGCCGCTTCCTTGCAGCTCCTGCTCCCATGGCAGTGTCTTCCTCCAGGGTTATTTTTGCTGCGTTTCCCTGTTGGGTTTGGGTGCTGGTGGRCTTGGTCACAGCACATGCGAGTTGTGAAGGTCTCTGCAGGGTTGGTGGGGATGGTGCTGGGTATCCAGCTTCACTTCTGGAATTTGCACCGAATCTGGTGCTTTTTCGGAGCCCRTGGGCTGCCTTGCAGCTCCCCTCGAACCTCCAGACCGTTCTGCTGGTGCAGATGTGACTTCAGCTCTTGCTCCATCACCGAGTTGTCACTCACTTTGGCAGGGCCACCTGAGCACGTGGGAAGGAGGCTTTGGGCTCGGGGAGGCTCTTGGTGCCCGTCAGCCCTGGGATGTGGTTAGGCTGATGGAGATACTGCCTCAATCTGGGCTGGAAACCGCTGCTCTGCAGTTAGCTCCATTCCCCAGGGCTGGGCAGTTCCCCCAAAAAACATCCTTTTTTTCCCCCCATTTGCTTTCCGTGACATTTCCCACGTGATGCCCCAGTGCCAGCAGAGGATAGTGAAACCTCTGTGGCCCGAAAGCCCCTCCAGGTGCAATTATTTGTGCCTTGTCAGACTGTAATTACTTTAGAAAATGTTTTTAAGTGACTGACAAGGATGAAACAATGTTTTGCTTAGATCTCACCCCTTTACACCTGGGTAAAGACAATACAGAAATTTATAAAAGGAACTTGGGCCGGTGCCCAGTATTTTATCTTGCGCAGACACAAGGTGAAACTAATTACACAAATGTGTGTACCTCCAGGGAATCATTTTGATCTAAGCTTTGACTTTTGGCTGGACTTTTGAGTGAAACTGCGGGTGACCTTCAGGGAAGAGGGCCGCGGTGCCCAGAGTAGCGTGTGTGCTACGGCGAGGCACTAACTAGGCCGCTTTGGTCACATCTGGCATTGATTTCTTTTTAAGGCACATTTAATAAGCCTGGCTTTGAAGCCTTTTTTTTCGCCTTTCATTTAATGCACAAAGACATGCATAAATGCTTGGCGCTCTAAATTCTTCATTGATTGAATCAGTTTGTACCACGGGCACCTCGGGCGCTGGGGTTGCTCCTTTCTGATGCCCAAGCGCCCATCCGGGCGGGCAACGGGGCATTTGCTGCCAAATGGGTGTTTTTCCCTCCTTTTCAACCCTCTCCTCCCCCAAAAAAGGAGGAATTAAGCCGTGATTTAATGCTGATGGCGTTAACAAAAAACAAACATCCACACACACACAAAAACTGGGTGGTGTCGGGTAATCTGAACATGGCAGTAGTTCAAAACAGAGCCGTAACACCAGGCCTGCTCCGCTCTATTGGTGCCAGATGTCCAAAAAAATAAAATAAAATAGAGCAAAAAGCAGCGCTGCAAAGCTTGCCACATAAAATATGTTTCAATGGCAAGCCCATTTCTGCGCAAATAAGAGCAGAGCGACTTGTTTGAAGATGTTGTGGGGGAGGATTTCTTGCTTTCCCTCCTTTTATTTTTTCCCTTTTTTTTTTTCTTTTTTTTTTCCCCCGTGAAATAAGGTTGCAATTATGTAAAAGGTCATAGCGTGTTTTTGCAAATGAAAACGCGGAGGAAGTGGCGGGAAGCGCCGCCGCTCTCCAGAGGGAAGAGCGAGTCCCGGCTCCCTGCGAGGCACCCCTGGGAKCTCCTCCGACCAGATGTTTCTCCTTGCTGACCCCTTGAAGACGCAGCCGGCCTCGGATGGGCTGTGCAAAAACAAATACTGACCATACCTTGCCTGAATGTAGCTGCTGCGAGCCCTTGGAGGGGAAGAAAGGCAGCTTTTATCCCCCACCCTGACACGTAATTTTAACTCGCCTGAAAAATAAATAGGCTCGAAAGGCAGCTTTGGTGGGCATCTTAAAAATGCGCAAGGGAAAAGTCACTGCTTGGAAAGCAGGTTCTAAGATGACCATACCATGATATGATATATAGGTGTATAGATATATAAATATGAATAAATTTAATAGTAAAACTGAGCTTTGTTTGCTCTCCCTGTGTATCCTAGTAAAAATTGCAGCCCCCTGTTCACACCTAGCAGGTACCCACCAGCTTCCCTAGTCGGGAGCTCCGGAGGAGGATGAGTTCCCAGTGGGAAGCTCCGGAATTCCACTCTGGGAAGTCTGGCCCGTTCSCTCTGAATCCCTCTGTCTTTCCGAAGAACCTCTCCTTTTAATAACAGTTGCTAATTTTAATGTTGGGTCTTGTATTTGGGGGAAAAAAAAAAGGAAACACATGAAAGAAAGAAGGTGGGGAGAGAGACAGAGGAGAACCTTAAGGATGCTTTGCTTTGAACGTGCATTTATTTATATTTCTTGGTAGGAGAGTGACCAGAAATGCCCAGAAATGCCCCTGCTTTCTAATTTTCTCTCTTCCTGAGGACACCCCGTGCCCTGGAGAGGCCTCTCTTGCTTTAACCCGCCGTGCTCTCCCCTTTTGCAGATACTACTTCAAGAAGGCGAGCGAYGAGTTCGACTGCGGCGCCGTGTTCGAGGAGATTTGGGAAGACGACACCATCCTGCCCATGTACGAAGGGAGGATCCTCGGGAAAGTGGAAAGGATCGATTGACGGCATCGGTGTCGCTTAAGGAGATTAAGCTGGAGAAGTCTGTGGACACGCGACAGTAGTGATCACAAGGAGAGCAAACAACTCTGAAGGAAAGTTTTGAACCAATGAAGAAAAAAAAAAAAAAGGTGAAGTCTATGAAGACTTTGCTGAATTAGCCTTAGAGGGAAAAAATGGCATTTATTATTCATGAGTTGGGTACTGAGATGATAAAAACCCTGAACTATTTATTAAAAACATGACCACTGTTGGCTATTGGAGATGCAGACCGTGTTTGAGAGACTTCCATACATAATATATGATTTCCTGGGGATCTGAAATCTATGGACTAAGAGAAACTGTGTATAGCTTACCTTAACAGTAATCCTTATTGATATTTATTGAACACTCTGTTTTCCCCTAAGTCCAGTTTTTGGATATGCTGCTTTAACAATGGAGAAGAGAGAGGGGCTGGGAAGGGGGTGAGGGGAGGAAGGAGTATTTTATTTTTTTACGTTTTTCCCACTACGGAGAATTGAGGAGTTGGGCTAGGAGCGCGGCCGCCAGATTTTTGAAGGGAGAAGAGGGAAGGAAGGACTTTGCAGCCGGAATTTCTCCAAATGAAGAGAGAATATTCTCTAAAGAAATAATAATCAAAAGTGAAATAAAACGCTGCCCTACCACTCATCTGGAGACCGGTGCGTTGTAGCCTCTGCTGCTATGATTTAAGTAAAGGTCTTAAGAGAGGGTGCAGAGGACCTTGTTGTCCTGCCATGTTCGTAGCGGAGGGGACTGGGCCCAGCCTGGGATTGCTGTGAAGGAGCCRTCACATTCCCATCTCCGTCATTCCCGTCTCCATGCTCACCCCGCCGAAAGGCCGCCTCGCAAAAGCCACGTTCAAAAGCCCTAGGGATGCCACGCAGCTAGCTAATTTTTCAGCTGTTTGCTGTTAGCACAACTTATATTTAAAAGAAATTTTACCAATGATGGGGCATAGTTGTGGAGCATGCAATTCTTTTTTTCTTTTTAATTATTATTTTTTTTTAATTATTTTTTGCCTCACCCTCACAACCCCCCAGSGCAGGTGCCAGCGGATGCTCCGGGTGCCGCTTTGCAAAGAGCCGAGCACCCCTTCCCCAGAGAGACCTTGCATTTCTACACTTGGGTTTCGTGTTGATTAAGTTAATCTGTGCGTTCTGTTTGCCATCGCTACKTTGTATGAGTCTGTATATATTGTAGAAAATGTATGGTGAAAATATTAATACACTATCTCTAGTGTTTTTTAAAAAATTAATCAGTACAGTACCTGTGCCTGCATGGTGTTACTAGGCCATGCGTCGCCCTATATTCAGGGTTCAAGCTTTCCCTTGCTTGTTTAAGGGGTTTATGTATAAATATATTTTATGCCTTTTATTACAAGTCCTGTACTCATGACTTTTGCCATGGCATTTTGTTCTACTTATACTGTAAATTATGCATTATAAAGAGTTTCATTTAAAAAAAAATACTTGGTACAATAATTATTGTAATTAAGAGATGTAGCCTTTATTAAAATTTTATATTTTTCAAATTAACATTGCCTGACTTTTTTTTTCTTAATTCCCTAGTGACTTAAAGGGTTTCTTCCCACGTGAGCTGATAGCTTGTGCTGGATGCAATAACTGAGCTCTTTCCCTCCCCAGGTAGGAAACGCTGCCTGCAGGGAGCAGAGTGCAGGTGAAAGAGGTAAGATCCAGGTGCCTCTTACACAGCACAGTAATATCTATTTTATATATATATATATATATATATATATATATAAAAAGATATATATTCTCGATAGCATGTTCTCGGAGCGACCTGTTGATCCATAAGCTCTGCTGAAGGTGGTGGTAATGCCCCGGTGCCGAGGCTGAAGACCATGTAGGTCTGGGTCCATTCGACACTTTTCATGGAGAGCAGAGCTTGCTGGTGCCACGACTGCTTCCAGCCGCCCATTATCTCCCTCTAATCTGTTTTAAGCAAATACCAACCTGTTAAAGCCGTGCTTAATCCAGCTGCCTTTGAGGGACCTTGATTTGGGAGAGGTTTGATGCAGCCAGCCTTGGGAGCAGCCTCCATGAGCCTTCCCTCTCCCCAGGACATAGGGTACAAACCCTATTTTATAGCTGAAAGAGCTACATTCATTCYTGGGGGAAAAGTTGCCCATTCCAGGGCTGGATTTGTCTCCCAGCTGTCGCCCAGACCTTCCCTGGCTCCAGCGAGCAACCCTGGGAACGCGACTGTGGAAAGGCTTTGGGGCTCGYGCGCTGGGAGCCACAGCCAGCCCCTGCACGCCGGCTCCGCCAAYGACACCGGCTACGCTTTTCTCTTTCGACTTTATCTTATTTTTGTTCCTCYGCCCTCTTTTTCTTCTATGAGGTTTTAAATTATCTGGGTTATTTTGTGTGTGTGAGAAGACTTCATTTAAAACATCAGTGAAACTTCTATCAAAGGGCTCAACTTCACACCGAGTACACAGAGCCCAGGACTCAATCCTTCAGTTCAAAAAAAAAGAAAGATTTAAAAAAGGGAGCCGCAGGCTCTTTTACACATTCAAATGGATGATGTCTTGTTTTAAAACCCATCTGAAGTTCATGGGGTTCATCTTAATTGATAAGCTGGAAATAACGGATGGGTGTAGGGAGACTTAAGCAACATCAGGGAAGAAGGATTTTTTTTTCCCCCTTTCTCTTTTTTTTTAATTTTTTTAAGTCTACCATCAAAAGTTAGGAACTTAGCACTACATAGTAGTATTATTTTTCTTCTGCTATTAAAATGAATCACACTGTGCCTAATTCTTCTCGGGAAGATGAATGCGTTGGAGGCAGCTTGAAGCCATTCAGCGCCTCCCGCGCCTTTGCATCCTTCCATCAATGCTCCCAAATACTCACTTCTGTTTTTGGGGCTGTCTGTAGAAGCAACATAAAAAATGGCTTCAAATGCGTGGCAGGCTGTTTAGCCGAGATGAAAGGGTATTTGAATAGTCCTTTAAAAATGAATGAGAAGTGAGCACTCCGTTTCAATTAGAAGTGGGCCGTGGAGATCGTTAGGCGGCACCTTAATGCGCCGCTTGGCTCGTGGGCCGCCCCGGTCCCCTCGGTCCCGTCGGGATCGCTTTGTTTCCAACCCATGGCAGGAGAAAGGTCCTGATTGCGCCTCGGTCCTGGGAGCGAGTCGGTCGAAAGGCGCTGTGAGCAAACCCGTGCTGTTGTGACTTGAAAAGGGTCATTTCCAGCCAGGCTTTTCCTCTCTTTTTGAAGGAGAGAGAAGATGAGGGAGTGAGAGACTTATCTTGACCTAAGCAGCTCTGGTTTTGGTTTAGCTGGAGCGTCTCAGGAGCCGGCGTGAGTTGGGAGGTGCCTCCAAGGCGGTGCCCTTGGTCCCCCAGGGCTGGTGGCCGGGGCCACCCCTTGCCATGGGGCCGCTGCGGAGTCGCAGGCTGAGGCCTGCCGGGCCACAGAGCCCCAAATCACAACTAAAAGAGAAAAACTCCCCGCTTCAAGCTGTGATTTTTAACCTGTGATCTGGGGGAGCGGGTTCTGGCCTTCATGAGGGACAAAACCTGTGCTGTGGGCCCGACGCGCGRATCAAAGCGGAGCTGCTGGAAGGAAGGGCCGGTTTAGGATGGACGTGGAGCAGCTTTCTCAKCGAGCGCTGGGAAGTGGAGTTCCCACGGGAGCTTGTGAGAGCCCACAGGAGCACATAGGAGCAAGTGGGTGAACACGGGAGCTCACAGGAGCCCACAGAAGCGCACAGGAACACATGGGAACTCATAGGAGCCCGCAGGAGCCCATGGGAGCAAGTGGGAGCCCGTAGGAGTCCACAGGAGCACACAGGAGCAAGTGGGAGCCTATAGGAGCCCACAGGAACCCACAGGAGCTCATGGGAGCAAGTGGGAGCCCACAGGAGCCCACGGGAGCCTATAGGAGCCCTCAGGACCCCAAGGGAGCCCACGAGAGCCTATAGGAGCCCATAGGAACCCACAGGAGCCCACCGGAGCCCATGGGAGTTCACAGGAGCCCACAGGAACCCACGGGAGCTCATGGGAGCAAGTGGGAGCCCACAGGAGCCCACGGGAGCCCATAGGAGCCCACAAGAGCCTATAGGAGCCCATAGGAGGCAATAGGAACCCACAGGAGCCCATGGAAGCCCACGGGAGCGCGGCTGGCGCTCGCCTCCCGCCCGCGCACCCTCGCGCCCTGCTCCGGCCGCGGGCCGGGCCGCCAGGGCCGSGGCTCCAGGGCTGGGCCGGCCCTGGCCACAGCTCCGCATTTGATGGAGCCGCCAAAGGGCCATTTCCAACTTCTTCTTCCTCACTGTTTATTCCAAAGCAAACAAACAAATACTTTTTTTTTTTCTTTTTCCCTCTTTTTTAAGTGCTAGCGTTCAGCTTTGCTAATTTATGCCTCTCCGCTTTTTTTCCCGGGAAGGATCCGCGCTGGGAAGCGGAGGCAGAAGCCCAGGAGGACTCGCCATCCCGGTGCAACAGGTTGCCAAAGCAGGGAGGAAGCCTCTCCTCCTCCTCCTCCTCGCTCATTCCAGGAGCACGGAGCCCTTTTCCGAGGCTTTGTAGATTGGCAATGCTTCTAAAAACCCTCGCAACTGTCCAACATGGGGTGTTTAATTACCAGGTAAAAGATTTCTTTTTTTTTTTCCCTTTTTTAAGACTCCATTTAATTATTTGATTGCACAGTAACCAAAGAGTGTAAGAGGGCTGTAGCCAGAAGGCACTTCAAAGCACTGCCTTGATGTTTCTTAGTGGGCATTAATGGTTTCTGAAGGCAGGAGATTGTTTAAAAAAAAATATTAAAACCCTCCTCATGATCCCGCCAGCAATCTCAAAAAAATGCATAAACACTGGAATCCTCTGCCAGGGAGGAAAAAAAAAAAAGGGAGTTCAAAGGGATCGGAGAGTTTTCATGTAAAGTTTAGAGTTTAAGGCGTGACTGTTGGCTACGGAGCCCCACTGTTTGAACTCTTGTTTATTAAAAACAGTTTCCCAGCGTTTCGCAGGGTTCAGAAAGACAACAGCGAAGCGCAGCCTCTCTCACAGAGCGCTGCTTAAAAGCTCCATTGATTTCTACCTACAGGTTTCATCTTTTTTTTTTTTTCCTTTTTTTTGGATCAAATCCTGGAGTTTAGCACAATCTCCAAGAGGAGGCTTAGCCGGGCGTGAGGAGGAAAGAGCTGCTCTGAAATATTTATTTATTTAACTTCTTAAACTGTTTTTTTTTCCCCTAAAATACCTCCGGGCAGTTGCTTGCAGGCTGCTCTGGGAGACTGGTCCCAAAGTGGGAGGCCCTGCATGGAGCGATGTCCCTGCTAGGCCTCGGGATGAGAGGGGGAAACGCGGGAATGCCGGGAAAACCTGGCACCGGGAGAGAAAAGCGGCAGCTCCAGCAAGATCTACCTGGAGAGATGCAAAACTTATCCGGCCTCGGGCACCCAATCCCGGCCTTTGCCAGCAGGGACCGCGGTCCATCCTATGCAGACCTGGAAGCAATGCCGGAGGCACTGCCAAATCCCGGGAATCAAGCCCTTCCCAGAGCCGCTCTCCAGGATGTCCCCAGTACCCGCTGCCCCRGGTGCTGCATCCTGGCCGGCTTCGCGTGGATGGAGGAGAGTGGAGAGAGGGCGTTTTGGGGAAAAAAGGTATAAATGGAAGGGTTAATATTAATAAATAGAGCAGGGAAGTGACTGAAGGAAAAGAAAGCCCCATAAAGTGACCAAGAAGGACGTCTGGAGTGCTAAGCATCCCGCTCCAACAAGGCAATGCAGAGCAACCCTCCTGGGAAGCTCCAGGGCTCCCAGGAAGTTCTAGTGCTCCAGGGAAGCTCCGATGCCCTCGGGGAAGCTCCAGCTCTCCTGGGAAGCTCCAGGGCTCCTGGGAAGTTCCAGAGCTCCAGGAAAGCTCCAGAGCTCCAGGGAAGTTCCAGAGCTCCAGGGAAGCTCCATTGCTCCAGGGAAGCTCCAGGGCTCCAGGAAAGCTCCCGCCTGGCTGGGACCAAGTGCCAAGGCCAGTGACAGCAACAGCACTGGGCTGCTCTCCTGCCATCCCCACTCGCAGTAAAAATAYCCTCTTTCCCAACTCCAGGGACTGATGGAAAATATGAACTTAATTTTGGGYTCTGTTTTCCTTAAATCGGCGCAGTTCCAGTAAAATCAGATTAAAATACCTCCAGTTCCTGATGTTTGGGGATATTTAAAGTCAGATCAAAGCGCTTCTACCCGGTCCTTTTGGTAGCACGTTTGATGAGAAACACAGGTGCACTAATATATTAAGCCAGCAGCCGGGCTCATTTAAATGCTGCCTTGCACTTCTCCTTCTGAGCCCCTTAAATATCA